ACCGTTATATATTCAACAAAAAAAAACAACAAACAACAATTACTCATGATTTCATCACCACCCTGCTAACTACCAACCTTCATCAGTACCACCAGGAGGAGAGTTCTCCCTTTGCTTCCTTCCACATCAGCCATAGCACAGTCAACCATAACAATCTAGATGAATGCCTACCCAAAGTTGTTGGTACACAAACAATCAAGAACCCAGAAGTACTTGTTGCTAGCAGAACAAGTGATAATTGATACTTTGAACGCTGTCTCACTCTTGGCTAATAAACCTTCGGCTCTACTTTTGCCAATTTTTGTTTTTGCTCTGCTCTACTTTCTGACCCACTCTGGACCACGTAATTATGGACATCCTTTTTTCACGACCCACCCACCCCCACATAATTATGACAATCTTCCAAATGAAGGATATTTTTGTTTCAGGAAGAGGAGATCGAATTTCTCCCAATAAAGAACTGGAATCATGGCCATCATATCCTGCAATATTCATATATATAATACATGCATAGAATCATAGCAACAAATTTGAGAGTTGCCTTTCAATGTTGATCTAAAATTGGAGATTTTGATTTCATGCCCTGATCAGATTCAAATTCAGATTCAGATAATAACTAAGCTGGTACACCAAGTCTAAAATCAAGATATCAAATTATCGCAGTTGACTATTCAACATGGCGATCAAGTAATAGTGTTGAAATTTGTGAGCTTTCCGAGAGAACTGCTCAGATCTTACTTGTTTGCACATCAAGATTATTATCGAATGAATGGCAAAGTAAGAGCAAAGCTTACCAAGGACAAGAATGTTTTTAGAACAATCAAGAGCAAAGCAAAAGCAAATTGGAGGGTGAGAATTCTAATGGTGAATCCACTACAAGTGTAGTTGAAGAGATCCTTAGGAAGAAATCGAAGAAGGGTGATAATGATGTATCAAAGGAGAATGAAAAGAATAACAGCAAGAAGAGAGTTAGAGAGGAATTTCAACAGAGAATTCAAACAGTTCTTCTGATTCTGATTAATTATTGTAAACAATCCTTTCGG